AAGGTTGGAAGAGACCTTTAAGATCATCAAGTCCAACTATTAACCTGTCACTGCTGGAACCGCTAAACCCTGAACCATATCCTCCAGTGCCAGGTCCAAACGACTCTTAAACAATTCCAGGGGTGGTGACTCCACCACCTCCCTGGGCAGCCTATTCCAGTGCCTGAACAGCCTGACAGGAAAAAGAAAGTTCTAATACCTACTCTTGACTCCTCCCTGTCTCAGCTTATGACCCCACGGCAGGAGAATCCACCCCCACCACTCTACAACCCTTTCAGGTAGTTTTAGAGAGCAATGAGGTCACCCCTGAGCCTCTTCTTGAGACTAAACAAACTCAGCTCTCCCAGCCTTTCCTCATAGGTTATATGGTCTAGACCTTTTATGAGCCTCATTGCCTGTCACTGGACACACTCCAGCAGCTCAGGGTCCTTTTTTAAGCGAGGGGCCTTGCTTGCACTCCTTCGTGCTCGGGTGCATTGTGGCCAGAGATAATATGTGGGACTGTGAGGTGGCCACATAATTCTGGAGCCAAACCAAAGTAGAGTTTTGTTCTGTCTCACAGACAAACGTGGCTTGCCAGTGCTTACCTTGCTAGCAGTTTAGTCTCCCTGTCCCTTGCCAGTCGCACTATTATTAGCGAGGTGTTTATTAGTTAGCCATGAGTAGGTCTGGTAGGTAGTGAGGAATGAGCTGCAGATGCAGGTGTTTCCCTGCAGCTGGTGCTGGAAGCAGTGCTACGGTTCTGAGGGCAGGGCTGGCTGCAGGTGCCAGCGCTGAAATGACACAAACCAAAGCTGCAAGCAGCTGCCGAGCCCTGTGGCTGTGGGTTGTTTATTTCGTGCAGGACACGACAGAGTTAGCCGTCCTGATTTAAATTGCAGTTTGCACATTTGACTAACTAATCCCTCTTGCGGTATCGATTAGAGTTCTTCATTTCCTGTCCTACAGTTGTTTGTTTTGCAGCGCTTTGTGCTGCACTGGTTCAACATCTCTTCTCGTGGGAATCCCCTAGCAAAGTTCCCCTTTGCCTCTGTGTCGGAGAGTTATCACTTCGCCGTGAGACCACACAGCTTTCACAAACCTCTTTTTTCTTATGCAGGGTTGCAAAGATTTAAGATTCAGTGGCAGAGGAGGCAAATCACAGTCAGTTTTCATTCCTCACCACAAGAAACAGAGTTCTGATGGTAGGATATGGTGTAGTGTACCTAAGTGCTAATGTAATGGTAACAAAACACGTGGATTTCTCACAGTTGGGTCTTTTCTGTTACCTGTCACTTGGAACCACTGCTGAAGCTGAACCAACAGACAGGTGCAAATCTCATGCCTCACCATGGAGCAGACAGTGCTGTCTGTACAACACAGTGCTCTGTAATTCTTGGCATTTCACTGACTTTGCTGTGAAATTCAATCAAAAGAAACCAGCCCTGTAACCCCTGTTTTCATGCTGGGAGCATTCCAGTGGTGAATAGCATGAGTATTTCCTCGGGGGGGAAATAACCTAGAGGTGGTTCTGAAGGAAAAACCCTTTTAATATAATGAGGGTGTTAGCTGAACACAAAATATGGGCATTTAAAGGGCATGTCCCACCCATGGCAGAGGGTTGGGACTAGGTGATCTGTAAGGTCCATTCCAACTGCTAAAATTCTCTGATTCTATGATATGTGGCTAATTATGCCATTGCCAAACTTTCAGGAGAAGCATTTCCCAGATTTCATGCCCTCGGGACATTTGGCCAGAATTCCTTTGTTTTGCTGTGTGGAAACCAGTTTTCCATAGAATCATAGAATCATTAAGGTTGGAAGAGACCTTTAAGATCATCAAGTCCAACCATTAACCTGTCACTCCACTGTAAGCCCTAAACCCTGAACCAGATCTTCCATCTCCAAATCCAGATGTCAAACACCTCCAGGGATGGTGACTCCACCACCTCCCTGGGCAACCTATTCCAATGCCTGAACACCCTTTTTGAGCAAAAATCTGTAACGTGCTGAAAATAGAAAAATTAATTAATTTTCAGAATAATTGCTGACAATATTTAATCACTGGTTAAATAAACCACTCAAAATTCCTCCATCTAGTTTGGTGCGCAGGAGAAAATTGTCTTCCTCTATCCACCTCACTAAATTTGTTACAAACCCTTCTGTTAGGAACAAAACACACTATGTTCAGACAATGCAGCTCATCTGCTGCACCTTCTGTTTCATTGCATTGTTATTGACAATCATGTAATTGGGGCAGTACCTGCAGTGAACCTGGGGGTGATAAGTGGGAGCAAAGCTGGGGGGGCCAGCACTGTCCCCAGGGCCTTGGCCCAGGATTACCACATGGAAATGACATCACCCACAGCCAATCCAGGGATCCCAGGGGTGCAGCTGGATGGGAGCCATACTCCACTTAAGTAACAAGACATGACATACCATGTGCTAATGCTAAATAATTTATCCCTCAGGCATATAGTGAATTGCAAAGCCAAGCTGAGGCCTGGTCAACAGTTTGTAGTTTAAATTAAAATTGGCTTTTCTGTCTTGGAGGGAGGGAGGGGGTCATCAGCTCTTGGGATCAAAAGTGGAATGCAGAAATCCCTTTTTTCTCTTTGCTTCACTTCTTTCTCCTTTTATAATCTGATCTAATCCAAACACTTTTTAGTGATTTAGGGGTGTGCTCCCTATCTCTATTATAGGAAGGAAAATCTTAGAGGAAGTTTTAAGCCACTGTGAACAATGATATCAATATATGCATGAAACTTAGTCATTAGCACCTGTAATATCTTCAACCAAAGCTATTGCAAACTTCGGTCATATGTGTTTGATGTTACAAATGTTATGTGGGCGTTTCCATAGCAGAGTCATAAATATGTCTCGTTAGGAATCCAGAGGCATTTGCTGCTGCTTAGGCTGAAGCTCAGGCCCAGCCTCTCTCAGGGCACAGCACTTAACTGCTGCCTACCAGAACTCACACCGCAGCCTTCCCTGTGCTGCAGCCCAGCTAAGCCTGGGCAAACCCCTGACATATGTAAAAATACTGAGCTGATTTTTCTTAAATGTGCCAAACAACATTTCCACTGAAACCACGAGAAGCTGAAAGTAGTCAGCACCTTCCATAACCTGTCCTAATGCAGCATTTGACATCAGTAGTGCCTCATATATCCTTTAATCTTCCCGTGTGCAGTTGATCAAGAAATGAACAGTTGCAATATACACCGTGTTGGTGGGAAGGAGAGAGGAATTCCCTCAAAGTCATTTTAGGAGAAGAAATTAAAAGGACTTCTGGCCTATGAAATAAGCCAGAATGTATTTACCTAGTCTCTACATGTTTGGCTAGTTAAAACCTGGAGAGCATGATGTAGTACAGAGTTAAAAAGAGCATGTGGAAAAAAATCCAAAACAAATTGGTAGTGTCTCTGACAGGTCTTGAGGGAAATCAGCTTTATTGCCACAATAGCACACTTTGCCGTGTGCAATTACTCGTTGTCATGGAGAGGGATTTTGGAGATTTCTCTTATTTTGGATGCTGCAAAGCATGCTACATTTAATTAAGAGATTTTTCCTTTCCATATATGTTTACTTATCTAGGTTCTTGTATGATAGTCAGGCCAGGATCCAAGTTCCCCTTAGATAACAAAAAGGAAAAAAACCCACCCACACTGCAAAAAAACCAAACCAGCAGCAGCTAAAACATTAATATATTAATTAATTTTAAATTATCTAACTTCAGATTGTGCGTTCTGTGATAGGAAAGGCTCTTCTGTTAATTTGCCACCTTGGCAAAGATGCATTTTTGTAACTGATCATTCTTTTTTTTACTCAAACATTAGTACAATGGGTAACAAAGCCTTTGCATCTAAATCCAAGTAGGAGCAGAATTTGGCAAATCTAATTCCTTCCTGGATTTTCGCAGCTCTACTTCCTTTAGGAAGTTTTTAGTCAATGGGAAACAAAGGCTTATTGAAAGGATTAAAGTTACAACTATTCTCTTTGTTTTAGAGCTTCAGTCACGGTTTTCCTCTAGTAAACAACATTTGCAATTAATAAAACTTCTAAAAAAACAGGAACTTTGGGGAAGTACGTGCATATGATAAGCAGCAGGATTTCTTTTGACAGAACTCTATACAAAGGTGTAGTCTTTTTAAGTTCAGACAATGATAACAATTGAGTTTCTCAGTGCATTTTGGAAGCATTCCTTGTGATAAACACAAGACAACATGCTCCACAGTCAGGGATGGGCAATCCATTGAAATAGGATATATCTTGTCAACAGTTTATTGTGTCCCAAAATTATTTTAAATAGCTGCAAACAGCTCACATTTCATAAACCTAGTCATCATGTCTCAGCCATGAAATATCTCTGCACATTGGACACACAGGACTGCATATATTTATGAACTATTACCCATAAATTGTTTGTTTATTGTTTCCTTTATATGATGCTTGGAAAAGGCATTTGGATAGCAGTTATCTGTGCATGAGTAAGAACACATGGAAT